CCAACCCTGTGGTAAAAGAAATCATACTTAATCAAGAGCGTAATAGAATGTGTTGCTTTCTGTGTATGCTGTTCCTTCTAGCTACACAAACTTTAAACTTAGCCCAACTGTACTACCTTGTTTACTTAGTGATATAACTGGAAATATGTAATGTCATGCTCACATTATAGGGGCAATCAAATGGGCTGAAATATTTGTTCTTTTCAAGGACACAGGTAGACTGCGAACTCAAACCCCTTTTCAGGTGCTATCTATCAGTTTTGTCCTGCTGCCCTTTTCTTCCCAGTGTTGTTGTTCGTACACATGGAGAGCCACAAGTCTGAAAAGAGTTAACCTCCATTACCTGCAGTGGTTGAGCTGAGATGGAAATTTGTTCCTGACTCAAGTGGAGAGCCCACACAAATAGCTAAAGGGTTCCTTAAATCTCTCCATGTGTAGGAAGGTGATGACACCAGAAAAAGAGAGGGCAGGACTGAGGTGCTCCCTTCTGCATGCTATTTGAAATAGATAATAGGGCTCAAGAGTTGGGTATAAAACATTAATCCCTTCTTAACAGTATTGATGACCTTGATAATAGTTTTGGTACCTTTTCAGAAAACTAGGATTGTAGCTACCACTTAATTTGTATTTTCATTATAAAGAATATAAAGATGTCACAATAAGGGTTTTGCTTTTAGGGATAAACAGAATGTTTCATAAACCTAATGCAATTATACAGTAGTTATTGCTTTGGGAAGCAGAAATGTCAGGTTTCAAAACTTAAGTTGCTTTCTAAAACATTTTTTAAGCTATGTAATGTGAAATATTCCAATACATTAGAATGGAGTTGACTTTCTGCTTGTGCTATGGTGACAGAACCATATGCAGAAAGAGGCTATAGGGAAGACATTGTTAGTCTTCTGTTAGGGTAGGACAACCACTGCAAGACAACAGATGCTAGGAGATACTGGCAGCCTCTCCTGCTTTTTCTAGTTACGTTCCTCTGGAGAGCAGAGCAGTATTTGCCACATGGTTCTGCATTCCCTTAAATAGCCTTAAATAGCCTGCCGCCTCAGGTGGTGGTAGGTGCCAAATCAGTCAGTTTCTGAAGGAACAATGGGTGTCTTTCATCCTTGGTATCTGGCAGACCCAAAGACTTGGGCTGACCCAGATATAAAAGGTATGCTGAATACCTTTGTGTAGGACAGTTTAGAAAAGTTTCTAATACCCCCTTACCGAGCAGCAGGAGTTGTGTTTGGATTTGTGGAAAAGTTCTCCTTGTAAAAGCGCATTGATGATACAATGGAAGAAGTCACCCAGTAAATCATCACATTGGTCAAAAGTTCATCCAGAGTGTACTTCCTGATTGGAAAATTATAAGAACAACCTTACTTGTACAGCTTTAGTAATTGGCCAGAGCATGGCCTACTCCTAGAAGATAATTGAGTTCATGCCCACCTTGTTCTAATAGAGAGGTCTGCTGATGTATACTGAGTAGTGTAGCAACAGCAGAAGATTGAAAAGCTAAATTATAACCCAGCTTCCTTGTCATTTGAAATGAGAACTTGCCAGAGTGGAAATTCTGCCCCCCCATTAGTTTTAACCCAACAGTTGTTTTTTTCTGCCATTTTTCCTATTCTTCTGATACCAACTGAGGTACATATTCTTACCTTTCCAGACCCCCATCATTCAAGTTCCGAAATGAGTTATCCGTCCAGGTGGAGAATTTCTCCAAAATGTATGCAGCCAGCCCCACTGGGCAGTTGTTTAATCCACATCCTAGGTTAGGAAAATAGCACATTAACACATTCTAAGATGTATCACTTTTTACTCTTACTATTTATTCAGCCTGAGGAGATCTTTTCTGGGCTCCTTGCAATGCTGTGTTAAATGTCCTAAATAATTTGGTATCATCGGCAAACATGGTCATCAGACTGTCCAACCCTTATTCTAGATCATCTATGAACAAGTTAAAAATACTGGTCCAAATACAGATCCTTGAGATACCCCAAAACAAGCTTTTTAAAAACATTAAATTTATGTGCTGCAGGCATAATTTCAGAACACATATTGTTTCATCTGCATTAGAGATGGAGGTATTCGTAATTTATACAAATATGAATACCCCTGTGCAGCTGAACGTGACGAGGGTCCGGCTCCCTGGGGGCCAGACCATCCACTCACCCACCCACCTCTGGCACAGACTTTGCTCTCTCTTCTAATTACTCTGGAGCTCCCAGTCGGCTATCCACTAATCAGCCTGGCAGGGAGACTAGTCTTCCCTCCTCCTGACAGGAGTGGATAGTTGATTGGAGTGTTGGAGCGACTGGAAGGGAGACTGGAGCCGGCAGTGCCGGTGGCAGACAGGTGAATGGATGGCCCAGCCCCAGGGGGCAGGGCCTTTGTTATGTCCACCTATGTGGGGGTATTTGTATATGAATACCCCCATCTCTAAGGTCTGAATGTGAATTAGAGAATTGCCTCTTTTTTGTGTGTGTTTGCCATCTCCAGCTTTGTAAGTGTTTGTTAAAATCTTCTAAATTAATAAATTACTTATTGAATTTTAAAGGTATGTATATATGTATAGGTAAAGGTAAAGGTTCCCCTTGACAATTTTTGTCCAGTCGTGTTCGACTCTAGGGGACGGTGCTCATCCCCGTTTCCAAGCCATGGAGCCAGCGTTTTGTCCGAAGACAATCTTCCGTGGTCACATGGCCAGTGCGACTTAGACACGGAACGCTGTTATATACACACACACACACACACACACACATTATATATATATATATACACACATCCACACATAGACGTTTCGGTTTTCTAAATGCCCAGTATTGACATGCAATTAAAATGGAACAACTTGACCTGGAAACTCAAGATTGATTCACAAAGTTCAGTAAAATCATTGTTAAAACTTACCTATCCGCCAAATATCTTGTGTATAAAAGTTTAACCAGTCACTTTCTCCTTCTGTGCAGCAAGCTAAGTGCCTCCTATTTGTCATCATTTTTACCATTGTCAAAAATATCCTTGACTTTTAAAGGTGGGGACAGCACTACTGTCCCTGAATTGCCATAAGGGATTAAGTTCACAAACCTGCTGTGTCTGGTTTGGTTGCCTGGATGTGCATATAGCCACTCTCACGCAAGATATTATACACATTCTTCTGGAAGTATGGGAATATACGGTGTGCATCTTCTCTAGTGAGGCCCACGAGCCATGGGACATAATTCCCCAGTAGTACAGAAACCAAGGAGCTCATATCCATTTTGGTTCTGAAAACCAGGTTCAAGTGAAGCCCTTTTACAGATCTAGAATGAAGCAACAGAAGGCATGCAGAGTAATCCTAAAGAAGTTTATTCAGACATTCCACTTAGTTCCGTAGGACTTACTGTTAAATGTACCTAAAATAGGAACCTTGGTGTGAGCAAATATAGATGTAACAATAAAGCAAAGCGTGCTGCTTATATACCGCCCCATAGCACTTCAAGCACTCTCTGGGCAGTTTACAAATTAATCATGCAGGCTACAAATTCTCTTTCCCTCCCCCCCCCTCAGCAAGCTGGGTACTCATTTTACCGACCTCGGAAGGATGGAAGGCAGAGTCAACCTTGAGCTGGCTACCTGGGATTGAACCCCAGGTCATGAGCACAGTTTTGGCTGCAGTACAGCGGTTTAACCACTGCGCCACGAGGGATGGTGCCATCAAGAAAACTTTGGATTTCTGGACCATGGGCCAAACTGCATACACGAAGGGCTCCTGGCAAGAGATGGGCTGCACCTCATAAGGACTGCGAAGAACGTGTTTGGGAGATATCTTGCTCAACTCATCCGAAGGGCTTTAAACTAAATTTGCAGGGGGTAGGAGGGCAATCTCTAGGACCAAACCCAAAGCACAAACCCCTAGACACTGAACTTGACAATGAGTAATGAAGTGGTGAGAAGGAAGGGACACTCAAATATAAAACATGAGACACAACAAGCAAATAAAAGGTCAGCCTTAAGGGGCTCAGATGCATATACTGTACACTAATGTTCAAAGTATGGGGAACAAACAGGGAGAACTTGAAGTCTTAGTACATGAGGGCAGGTATGACATTGTTGCCATTACCGAAACTTGGTGAGACAAAACCCATTATTGAAATATGCTGCTAGAAGGATATACTGTAATTTGTTCAAAAGAAACAGACTCAACAAAAGCGGAGGAAGAGCTGCACTGTATGTAAAGAATTACTACTGTACTATAACACAGGAGACCAAGGATGAATACTTCCCTGAAGTTCCTTGGGTGAATATTAGGGGTGTGTGAAGGAGCTCAAGGGAGTGTGCCGTCCTCCGCTAAAAAGGAAGACGTAGAGGAAGGAGAATGTGTGGAAGGGGTGCTAATAGAGCTGGACCAGACGGAGGTGGTGGCTGAAAGGGCTGAGGAGGTGTGTCTTGTTGAGGAAGGAGGGGAGGAGTTGGATCTAATTATGTGGGAGGAGATAAAAGAGGAAAAAGGCGCGCGGGAGTTTAGAACTTGGACGGACTTGAATCCAGAAAGGCCAAGGCATAGAGGGGTACAGACTGAGCCCATTCTCGGCCAAAGCCCAAAGCTTGATGCGGCACCGGGATTTCCTAACTTGATGACTGGAGGTGGACTGCTCCCAGACCCGTCCCCTACGGGAATCAGAGGTAGATGTATAGAACCGTTGGAATGGAAAGTGTCGGTTTTCCCTCTGAATTACCCTGGGGGCGGGCGGCGTGTGATTCGTCCCGGGCCGGAATACCAGAAGAAGCCCTTGGAGGGCGATTGGGCCCGCCACCCGTGCTGCGGCACGGTGTGCGCGGTGAGGAGCGCGCCTTTGCGACAGATGACAGATCGGGAGAAGTTTGGGCCAGCTCCCTTCTAGGGGACCACGTCGTGGTACCTGTTGTTCGCCCCCAAAAGTACAATCTGTTGCCTGACCATTTATTGCAGGATCCGTTTGATCCTCGTGAGTTGGATGCTGTTTATAATAAAACTGTTATTAATGAAGATCGTGACGAGCCTCCTTGTCTTTTTCCCGCCTTCACTACAAGTGCCCCCCCCACCGGAGAAGGACTTTCTTACAGGGGGGAATGAATGACATAGCTGTAGGTGTGTACTACAGGCCACCTAACCAAGCAGAGGAATTAGATGAACATTTTGCAAATCAATTAGCTGAGATGTGTAGGAAACACACTACTGTAGTAATGGGGGACTAATGTTCTAGATTTTGAGAGAGCTGACTTCAACAAACTAAGAGATGTTATAGGAAAGATTCCATGGATGGAAATCCTAAAGGGGAAAACAGTTCAGGATGCTTGGGAAACCCTGAAAGGCAAGATAATAAAGGCCCAAACCAAAACAATACCACAGAGAAAGAAAAACAAGAGACTCTGACAAGATGCACACAGAGCTCTCTGACAAGCTAAGAGACAAAAAGGGGCTCATGACTAGAACAGAATATCAGCAAATATCTCGAATCTGCAAAGATGGAGTCAGGAAGGCTAAGGCTCAGAATGAACTAAGACTTACAACAAATGACAAAAATAACAAAAAAAGTTTCTTTTGATACATAAGGAGCAAGGGGAAAGTCAAGGAAATGGTTGGTCCACTAGTGGGAAAAGATGACAAGAAGGTGATAGGCAACAGAGAGAAAGTGGAACTGCTTAATTCTTCTTCTTCTTCTTCTTCTGCATCTGCATCTGCATTTACGCAAAGGAAAAAATAGGTTAAGTGGAACTGCTTAATTCTTCTTCTTCTTCTTCTTCTGCATCTGCATCTGCATTTATGCAAAAGAAAAAATAGGTTTGCCCTGTCAAAAGCAACACTGTGGGAGACAGAAGAGGGAAGCAGGTCAAAATAGGTAAGGAAGTGGTAAAAGAACACCTAGCTGGTGCAAGTCTCCTGCGTCATGGAGCACAGTCAAGTGGCCAGAAGACTGGAAAAGAGCTGATGTGGTTCCAGTCTTCAAAAGGAGGGGGAGGAGTGGATGCAGGAAACTACAGAGCAATCACCTTGACATCAATACCTGGGAAAATCCTGGAAAAAATAAGCAGCTGATTTGTGATTACCTAGAAAATAACGTGATTTCTAAAAGCCAGCATGGGTTTGTTAAGAACAGGTCATGCCAAACAAATCTTATTGCCTTCTTTGATAAAGTGACTAAATTAATGGACCAAGGAAACACAGTGGGTATAGTAGACTTAGACTTCAGTAAGCCATTTGATAAGGTAGACCACAACCTACTTCTGCGTAAGATAGAACAAAGTGTGATAAACAGCGCAAATACCAGATGGATTTGCAACTGGCTGACTAGCTGCACTCAACGTGTGGTCCTCAATTGAACTACATCTACCTGGAGGGAAGTGTGCAGTGGGGTCCCTCA